ATGTGTCTTGAATATTTACAGTGAATCAAGTACTCTTTGACTGTTTTAAATATATTTGAATATCACAATTCTCCAAAGGTAGAAATATGATCATCCTCATTTTCCAGATGAGGTCGGTGAGGTAGGCCTAGGCCACACAGGTAGTGATAGCCTTGGTTGGTTGTTTTTTTGGTGGTGGTGGGGTTGCCACACTAGGTGCTGTACTCCTGAGTTACACCCTCAGTGCTATTTATTTATTTATCTATTGCAGTTGTAGGGATTAAACTCAAGGCCTTTGTGGTAAGGTATACCCAGCCTTCCTTTATTTTTACTTTTATTTTTTAAGGATTTTATAACAAGGTCTCTCTAAGTCACTAAGTTCCTGGGCTGGAATTTGTGATCCTCCTGCCGCATCCTCCTAAAGTGTTGGGATTACAAGTGTGTGTCATAGCACCTAGATACCTTTTATTTTCTTTGCTACTGTGAATTGAGCTCAGGACCTTGAGCTTGCCAGGCAGGCACTGTGCTGCTGAGCTATCTCCCCAGCCCTTGAATCCCTTTGTATGTTGAAATAAGGTTGTGTTAAGTTGCCCAGGCTGGCCTCAAACTCTCAGTCCTTCTGCCCAGCCTCCTAAGTAGCTGGAGTTACAGGTCTGTACCTGGCATTGGCTCTTAACCGTGACACCGACTGCCTCTGAGAAAAGCCCATGAAGATACAAAGAGCACAGTAACTGCCCGCTGAAGCTCCCTGCAAAGTAAGAGAAGAGGCAGGCAGAGGTAGTTGTGGGGTGCAGGAGTGTGCGAAGCCATGAGGAAAATGGAAAGCGTGTTCTCAGGGCCTCGTCTCACCACCAGGGAAGCTCCGGAGGGTGACCTTGAAGAGCCAAGACCTATTCAGAAAAAATAAATGGAGGGAATGAATATAGTTCCGGAGGAGGAGGGCCAGAGGGCCAGGCAGGAACCAAAGGACCAAGTGGACAGTCAAGAGTGCGGGCTGGCTGGGGAGAGGCAGCAGCCAGGTGCCGGGAGGTGCTCTGCTGCCCACAGGAAGTGGGGCAGCATCATAGCCGCCCACACGGGCAGAGGAGGTCTGGCAGTGTAAACAGGATCTGCAGACATTGCTTCACCTTGGAAATGAAACACTAGAAGTTACTGTTTATTTATTGTTGAGGTTAAGAGGAGGAAATTTACTGGAGAAAAAGGATGAGGAATCAGAATAGGAATAGCTCTTGAGAGAGGAGGGACCCCGAATCTGTTGGCAAAGAACCCACTTCTCAGAGGAAGCATTATAGACAAAATTCATAAGGCAGGCGTGTCTGTGAACCATGATGGTCAAAATTCTGATCAACCAATAATATGACAAGTATGGCTACTTATGTAATATTGACCCAGTGGTAGCAAGGACACACAGCATCCTTAACTTTGGTCAGTAATCTATAGTCTTGTCCTTTAGTCTTAGTGGCCTTAGTCTGAGTCTTAGTGGGTGGGAAAGGATGGCACTCTGCAAATGAGATACTGAGAAATCTCAAAGGGTGCTACCCATAACCCCAAGCCTCCATCTATCTCCTAGGAAGTATGTAAATCTGGCCATTGTGACTTTAATGTTTCGATGTGCCTCCATCCAGTCTCTGTGTGTTCTGACTTCTATGCTGACCTCCTTGAGGCCCAGCCCTGCCTGCCTGCCTGCCTGCAGTATTCTCACCTAATTTCGCCGTCTGTAATGTTCCCTCCTCTGAAGAGGTATCCCTAAGTGGTTAGGGGAGAAGGGGCGCAGTTTCTATCCAGCTAATTTGAGCTGAGGAGGGTCGCTGTAGGGGAAACTGCAGTCAGGGGCCTTCTGCAGAAAGCTAATCTATCTGGTGGACCTTAGCTGGAAGTCATGCTGCAGTTCAGCAGCTTTGAAGTCCCTGTACACGGCTGATCTAGGGGATACTGGTGAAAGGGGTTTGGCACCTTTGTCATTGGTTCCATCTGCACGATCACTTGGGAGTTTGGCAGTCTGTAGGCAAAATAAACAAATTTTCCAAGAAATTAAAGCATGCATAATCAAGGCATGATGAGGTGATCAGGCACCAGCTGTGAGAAAGAAGGCCCTTGATCAGAGAGAGAGAGAGAGAGAGAGAGAGAGAGAGAGAGAGAGAGAGAGAGAGAGAGAGAGAGAGAGAGAGAGAGAGAGAGAGAGAACGTCAGGTCCAGCAACTATTTTTTTTTTTTTTTAGTACTGGGGATTGAACTCAAGACCTTGCACTTGCCAGGCAGGCACTTATTCTACTGAGCTATCTCCCTGGCCACTCAGAAACTACTCTTAAGGGACTAGAATAGTGATTGTAACCAATTGGCTCTTAGACCCCTTCTACTTTTTGTTCTGTTTTTGTTTTTTGGTGGTACTGTTGTAGGCAGCCAACTTAGAAATATTATAGGCAGTCAGACAGGGCCAGGCCCTCGAAGGAGACAGCACAGAAGACAAGATACCTTACAACTGTGGGAGGGGCGGATGCCCCTGCTGTGAGCCAGAGACCAAACAAATGGTAACCTCCCTAAAGATTAGCATCCTGGATTGATCATCACCCTGAGAAAGCCAAGAAGAATCATTATCTGATGGCTACCAGATAGGGTCTTGTTTTACTCTCATGCCCCCTTGCTACGTGACTCTCTTTCCCATTTGGTCCTGGGCTTAATCAATTTTACCTGAGCAATGGTGCTTGCAATCTCATTGGTTGACCATAGTTTTGTCCCACCCCACATCCACCTAAGCAAGTTCCCCCTTTCTCCACCTTAGCCCCACATGGTTTTACTCTACAAAAGTCCCTGGAAGAGACAGCTTCCCGGGGAACAACCTGCTTGGGCCACCCTCCTGTCCCTTTCTTGGACAGGAGCTTTCTTTCCCTCAATAAATATATTCTGCTCATAACCTCCATTTGTTCCTAAAATTCATTCTTCAGTTTTAGAGAATACGAACTCGTCCAGGTTAGGTTGGGAGATCATTTTTCCCTATATCATTTGGAGGTTTCCTATATCATTTGGAGGTCACCCACCCAAGATCAGTTTTTCTCCCTGTATCAGTACTACGGATCAAACTCAGGACCTTGCACGTGGCCAGGCAAGCACTTATTCCACTGAGCTATCTCCCCAGCCCTTAGACCCCTCTATTAATGGAGGTTATCTATAAGTCTGGTATTTTTTATCGTAAATCTGTCTAGCTTTAGCTATAAGAAGATAGTTTTTTTAAAATTTATTTGTGTGTGTGTATGTGTGTGTGGCCAGCTCAGCCCACCAAGGGGCGGGGCTGTCTGGCATGTGGTGCTGGGGGATTGAACCGCGTTCCTTGTGCTTTGCTAAGCTTGTTCTAAGTAGGTGCTTTAGACCACTGAGCCATCTCACCAGCCCCCTATAAGAAGATAGTTTTAAGTGACAATTTTAGGTAAGGAATTTAAAGACTCTTGCTGAGATTTTATAGATTTCATTGTAGTTTTTTCTTTAATGTACCATAACAGTAGTCAGCTACTGGTGTAGCTGGAAATTGTCAGAAGGAGTCAATAATTAGAGCCCCTTTTCATATCTAGCCTTCATTATTATATTATTCGCTATCATCTTTTGGTTTTTTTTTTTTTTTTTTCTGTTCTGTGTTTAAGGCCAAGTTAAAGCAAGACCTGTGTGAATCAAACGTAGCCTCTTGCTCTCTGGCAGGTAAGTCTCCTCAGGCATTACTTTTAGTACCATGTACAGAGCCTCTCCGCTCATCTGTCAGTGCCAGCCACCAGGATGGGTCATGGTGTTTGCCTCGGTCACTCTGCTGTCATTGCTGGGACAAATACCTGACACCCAAAATGAAAGAAGGAAAGGTTTATTTAGCTCACAGTTACTGAAGGTGTCAGTCCATACTCAGCTGGCTCCAAGGCAGAGTGGCACATGGCAGAAAGCAAACTTTCATGGTGGTGGCAAAGAGCAGAGAGCAAAGGAGTGGCAGCAGCTCCCGTAGCTACCCAGCCTCTCTCCCCCCCACATTGTTATGCAAATTACCTGCCCCAGGGCAAGGTGCAGCCTCAACACCCACAGTAATCAATCACAGACTTGAGAGGCCACCCCATGACTGCCTGAGGCTTTGTGGGGACAACTAGACAACAACCTTAGCAGTCTTGCTTGACTATGTTGGCTTCTGTGAAAACAGGGCAGACTTTTCTGTCTTTGGGGAATCCCCCTTTTGCACACACTTGGTTGATTCCTGTCCTCTGGGGTCAAGCAGTCTCCCTGCTCAGGAGGTTGGGTGACACAGCAAAGCCATAGGATCCTGTAGAAAAGGTTCTAAAGGTTACTATTTAAAGAGAAAGCCTTTCTGGAAAAAGAATAAAGTGCACTGTGAGAAATCCAGATTGATGTGTTTTGTGGTTCCTTAGAGTAAGTAAGATCTCTTGTCGTGGCCTTTTGTTGGTGTCACTTCCTCTCAGGATGTGTGTCCCACACCCACATGTGAGAATGCATGTGCACTTTTCCTACTGCGATCACCCCTTTGTGTCACGCCAAAACCACTTCCAAGGTCCAGCAAACACGCTGAAATGCACAACCCACTGGATGCGCACAGAGGTCTCCATTGCTATTGCTCATCTAAGCATTTCATAGTGGGCTTTGCCATCATTCTCCAGTGAAAATTCAATATTGCCGTGTCACATGGGCATTTTTTTTCTAAGCCAGAGATATAGACCAGACCATCCAGCCAGAGAAAACCAAGCCTCACCATATTAGCTGGTGATGTTAATCTGCATCACTAAAGCAAGCCAGGTGGTCGGCGGCCCCCACATCCATGGCACTATTTTACTCAACAATAGCGGGCTGTATATAAATTGGTTTCCATGGTTTGTTCATCTCCACCGCTTTGCAGGTGGCTGAGGAAGCATGGTTTTTTCTCTCTGCTCATTAAGGAGTGAGCAATGTCACATTTACCCCAACACGTTAGAGACAAGTGGTTCATAAATAGAAGGTCCTTTGTCTAAGGAGGGAGGCTCGCTCTGATGGCTTGGGAGATAATGGTGGGCTCCCCTTTACTCTTTTGCCTGCTCTCTTTTCAATTATCTTTTGTTTTTCCTACAAGGAACATTTCTCTCAAGTGCATGCAAGATACTGATGAATTCCTTTCTGATCTGAATTCAGTGAAGCCTAAAGAATACGCCCTGAGAAGTAAGTAGACTTCCCTAGCGCCCTGGTAGGTGAACAGGGAAGTCTGGTGTTGTGCTACATGCATTCTCAACAAACTTGTGAGAATCAAAAACGCAGCACTGAGTAGGGAAGAGAAGCTGATCCTCAGCTTACAAACTGCCGAGTGGGGTGGGGGAGGTTTCTATTGCAGGAGGCTCTGTGGTCAGTCTAGCCAGAGGGGTCTCCTGAGGAGTGACCTCTCAAGCACTGCTTAGATTGTGCGATGCTGTTTGTTCTCGAAGTTGATGACGTCACTGTGACATAGCTTGGTTTATTTCTTCTTCTAGACATTTAGTCTGCTTTTGACAACGGGGAAAGTCTCGTCCATGACACGCATACTAGTAAATTCTGAGGAGTGTTGTGGTAAAGATCCTGGCCAGGCTAGCAGGGAGATCGTAGCCAAGCTGCTTTGATGGGGTACATAGAGATTGCAGGTAACTGCAAGTTTTTGTTCGTTTGATTTTTGAGACTGGTTTTATGTTAGTTCAGCCTGGCCTTAAACTCATGATGATCCACCTCCTCAGCCTCCGAGGTGCTGGGATTACAGATGTGTGCCATCAGGCCTCCCTCCTGCAGTTCTTTTATTTAATGTTTCCCAAAGTCGTTCTCACAACTGAAGGAACAGATACTTTTTCTGCACAAAGGGACATCCCCACCACAGAGGAATAACTTCTTCAGGAGAATGATTCATCATTGTTAGTGCTAGTGAAAACCATTAACAAGGAAGTATGTAACAAGTCTCTGCAAAACCAGGTAAAGTGAGGTAACAATTCCCATTTATAATGCAGAACTATTTTATTTTTTATTGCAAAATACCTAGTAGCTTAATATATGCCATAAGGATAAAAGTTCTGATCTAATAGAGGGCAACTCGAAACAGCACATGACTTGAAGCAGTTGCTACTCTACACTGGATCAGATGCCCTGATATTTAATGAAATGGTGGTAAAATATAAATCCAATTAATTTAATAGCCATTTTCTTCGAGTCCCATTTTGGAATTGGTAATGTTTTGCTACAACACTTGGTGATATTGATAGGGAACATTGTGACAAATGCAGGCCAAATAAGCTGTCCAAGAGACTCCAGAAGGTGGGTTGCTGGCTGGGCTTTCTGGGAACGAGGTGGCAGCACATGTTGTCAGTGTTAGTCACAGGCCTGCTAATGCTGTTGCCTTACAAGTTACTGTAGCCACCCACCAGCCCCGCGTTCCACCTACTGTAGGAGCCTGAAAGTAGAAAACCTTCTCCACTCTTAAACAAACAAACAGTGCTCAAATAAATGGTTTAAGAAAGAATTGAGTAACATATAAATGGTAGAGGGTTATCAATTTATTTTAATAGGTAAATACGTCTATCCGTAGATGTTGGAAACGATCTTCATTCTATGTTTTTTTCAGTCTTCTTTTTATTTATTTGGTACAGAGTCTGGCTATGCAGCAGGGCTGGCGCAGTATGCGGTACTGGGGATACAACTTGGGTCCATGTGCTTCCCAGGCAAGCGCTTAGACCACTGAGCTATCATCCCAGCCCCCGATCTTCATTCTAATGCCCCAGAAAAAACTTGGCGCTGCTGCCTTGACATTTTGCCTGAGCTCTTTGCTCACAGCATGTGTTTTGACTTTAGTTCTCGGTATGGTTTTTCTGGCAGTCAGCATGGAAAAACAAGAGTCAGTAGTAAGTGCTTCGACCAGGAGGCACCCTTGTGAGCCCTGCAAGAGTTGATTTGGGTAGCTCCAAAGCTTCTGTTTTAGGAGGTTGGGAGAGTTTTTGTTATCTATATTATAAATGAGGAAACCCAGATATAGAGATGTGAAAGATCTTTGTGTGTGTGTGTGTGTGTGTGTGTGTGTATGTATTTAATACAGGGTCTACAAGATATCACTACACAGATCGGACTTGTAATGATCCTCCTGTTTTCAGCTTCCCAAGCACTGGGATTATAGGTGTGCGCCCCCAGGCCTAGTCTCAGTTGTGATCTCAGTGTGCCCCAGGGGTGGGGCCAGCACAGCATGCTGGGGATCAAAATTTGGTCCCTGCATCTGCCTAAGCAGGTGCTTTAATCTGCTGAGCTATCTGACCAGCACCATGTGAAAGATCTTGCTCAAAGTGATAGGGGTAGGTTTTGAGCGTACATAACCTGATTCTTGAGGCTGTACTTTTGATCTTTGCCTAACATAAGCAATAATGAAAGAAACAAGTACACAATACCCAACCCTGCAGCCAAAATATACCAATACTGAGAGAGCCCATAGTGTTATATTATGAAGAAGAGAATGTTGCAGATTATATACATCAGCTAAATTTAAACAATGCAACTTTTTTTTCTTTTTGAGACAGGGTCTCACTATATAGTTCAGCCTGGCCTTGAGCTCACTTTGTAGACCAGACTGGCCTCAAGCTTGCAATCATCTTCCTGCCTCAGCCTCCTGAGTGCTGGGATTAGGCTTGTTCCACCATACCTGGCAAACCAATGCAAATCAAAGCTGGCTGTTGCTAAATGCACATAGTTCAAATGTTAAGAAGTGCTGAGGGCAGGCTGTAGCAATGACGCACGCCTGTGATTCCTGTGCTCTGTGAGGCTGAGGCAGGAAGATGGCAAATTTGAGCTCAAAGTGGACAACTTAGTGACTTGATGAGACCTTGTATCAAAATAAAAAAAGAAAATTTAAAGGGTTGGAGAAATAGCTCAGTCAGAAGGGCCTGGATTGAGTCCCTAGTATTAAAAGGGGGAAAAGCCTGTAAATTAAAATCTCTAAGTTCAGTTCTTTGGGAGTGGGCACACTAGAGTTCAAGTGATTGGTTGAGCTTTGCTTTAAATTGAGCAATGGGACCATGGTGCTCATATAATTCTTTATGCCTTTTTAATACATTATTACATAATTACTGTTTTAAAATGCCACCCCCAACCCAAAACACAGAGATGATAACCCTTACAGGCAGATAACAGGCAGAAACCCAAGGAACAAAGAATAAGGGGCAAGGCTCTTCAAAGTGCATGCAGCGATGTTCAGTCTTGAAGGCAGGAATTGGAGTCACTGTAGAGCAGGGGAAGGACTGCTCTTTAGAGACTGGGTCTGTGTGGGTGGGATGTTTAGTGCGGAGCCCCCACGTCTGCCTTTTGTCCAGTACTTTTCATTTGCTTTCTAACAGTTGTTTACCAATTTAACAGGGAAAAAAATCTGCTAAATATTCCTGTTAGTTTTGATCTTCCCCCTTTTTGGAATCTTGGGTTAGTACCTCATAGCCCTTGTCACTGTCTAGCCCTTTACAGCCTGTGCTCTTGAAGCTGTTAAACCTGTTGCTTGGGAGCGGTGGGAATGGCCACTGTGCTTGGCCTTCGAGCTCCAAAGTTGGGAGCAGCACAGTGGGAATGAGGAGTCAGCAGTGAGATTGGTGTCTTGCAGTTGCTGTGAGTGGGGTTTGTAGCTTGGTCTGCTATTTGGATTTCAGGAACTGGAGACATTGTGGAATATGCAAATTGAACAAAGTTGTGTAATAGCAGTAGGCATCACACTGTCAATGCCACAGAAATATGGAGAAATATTTTGCAGCATTCAGACTGCCATCTGACTCCCCATGGCGGTTTCTTACGTCATGGACCAATGTGTATAGTGCTGACACATGTCTTTCTTATGTCACAATAGTAGTACTCATTAAGGCAACAGAAATACCAATATTTATGTTGGGATTATATTATTGGTCTATTGAAACCATAAATTGGTTATAGATAAAAGGGTCTGGCCAAAACACACACACACACACACACACACACACACACACACACCCCTAGCAAAAGTACTTTGTGAGAATCAATGAACTGTTTGTATATGAAGATTCTTGTAGATTTCATTATGTGCATTATGTGTATGTTCTGCCTGAATTTGATGTACTAAATTCTAAGTCCTCACACCAATATCTCAGCATATAGAAATAGGATATTTATTTATTTATTATGTATTTGGTACAGGCTTTCCCTATGCAGCTCGGACTCATAATGATCCTCCTGTTTCAGCCTTCCCAGCATGGGGATTATAGGTGTGTGCCACCATGCCCAGTCTTGGAGGCCGGCTTAGCGGGCCGGGGGCAGGGCTGGCATGGCATGTGCTTCTGGGATATATCCCAGGTCCCTCCATTTGCCAGGCAGGTGCTTAGACCACTGAGCTATCTGTCTGGACCAGAAATAAGATCTTTAAAGATATAATTAAACTGAGTCTGTTGGCACAGACCTGTAATCCTCAGGATTCTGGGAGGATTGAGCCCAGCCTAGGCAATTTAGCAATTTAGTGAGACTTTGTTTTTTTTTTTTTTAAATTAATTAATTAATTAATTAATTTTGTGTGTGGGCAGCTCAGCCCACCAGGGGGCGGGGCTGGGTGGCATGTGGTGCTGGGGATTGAACCGCGGACCCTGTGCTTTTGCTTAGCTTGTTCTAAGTAGGTGCTTTAGACCACTGAGCCATCTCACCAGCCCTTTAGTGAGACTTTGTCTCAAAATAAAAAGTAAAAGAAGGGGTTGGGGATGTAGTTAAATGCAAAGGCCTTGGATTATATCTTTAGTATAAAAGCAAGCAGGCAGGCAGGCAGACAGATATACAGACAGACAGACAGATACTGATAATTTAAGTTTAAAGGATGAGTAGAGAAGGCCCTAATGCAATGACAGGTGCCCTTATGAAAGAGGAGATTAGGACACAGACCCACGTCCCAGGAAGACCATATGAGGACACACACGACCATGAGGCAGCCTTCTGGAAGCCAAGGAGAGCAGCCTGAGAAGAAAGCAGTGCTGGCTGCACTCTGCGCTTGGATATGACAGCCTCTAGGTCTGCAAGGCCGTGAGTTCTCGTGTTTAAGGCACCCCACGTGAGGCATTTCGCTATGGCCCCCCTAGAGAATGACTGCAGTATGTTGTACGTCCTTTCCATCAGTATAACTGTGATACTATCTACTCGGAGAGTCTTGTGTGTTGAACTGTCCTCAA